TGGTGTAGTGGATATAGTGATGGGCTAGACCAGTGATGGTGAACCTGTGGCACATGTGCCACCGCTGGCACGCACAGCCCTCTCTGTGGGCATGTGAGCCGTAAGTCGCCATCAAGAAATACTTACCCATCCTCTGATCCTGGGTTTTGGCACTCCCGTCGGCTGGTGCAGTGGTCCAGCGGAGGGGTGCAATGGCGGCCATTATCGGTCTAGCCTGACAGGGGATTGGAGGACCTGTAAGTATTTATCTGTTAATACTGCTCATAGAAAAAAAAACATTTAACCCTTGCAGTGCAGGAGCAGTTGTTTTTTTCTAAAACCCCAGTTTTGGGGTTTTAATTGCAGTGCTGGCACTTTGAAATAAATAAGTTGGTTTTGTGTTGCAGCTTGGGCACTCGGGCTCAAAAAGGTTCACCATCACTGGACTAGACTCTGGAGACCAGGGTTCAAATCCCCGCTTGGCCATGGAAACTCACTGATTTAGTGGAACTGGTAATGCCACTCCTTAAATATCTCACCTTGAACATCCTATTAGAGTCACTGTAAGTGAATTCCAACTTGATGGCATTGAACAACAAAAACAATAATATAACTGCCTGTTACTCCCCCCCCCGCTTACCTGTTTTTTGGGATAGTCTGTGAGTTGTAGTCCAAAAAATGGTTTCCTGTCTCTTCTCTAAACCTTGCTGATTAATTTGTCTTCATTAATTTATACAAATGGACTCTTATCACTGAAGCAAGCAATGTTTTGAAATATGTTCATAGCAGTCATAGCAGCCTGTTATCAGCTGTGATGTGGCATTTCTGTTGTCCCATGAGACAAACAGAATTATATAAAATTGCAATGCTGGAATCCTATAGCCAGGCTATCATGTAAAAAATTGGGCTCACCGGGTGAAAATATACTAAGAGTTAAATGCATGGAGACTTTGACAACAGGCTTAGGCCAGGACAAATATCTCCCCTTATTTTTCTCCAAAGCTTTGTTTTAAAAGCCTGATTTCAAGTTTTGAAAACTTTTCATTGTTTCACTGTTGCCTTTAATTCAGGTTTTTGTTGTTGCTATTGGAGGATTGTAGATGGCAGAAAATTAGACAGTTTTGTCAAATCTGCTACAAAATACCCAAAAATCTAGCAACAGATCCTAGATCTACTCTCATTAGACCAGTTTTTCTCAACCTTTGGCCTGATAGATGTGTTGGATGTCAGCTTCCAGAATTCCTAACCATTAGCCATGCTGGTCGGGCATCCTGATAGCCAGAAGTCCAAAACTTCTGGTGATGCCAAACGTTGACAACTGCTGCTGTGGGCAATAGATATATGAGCCAACAGTCTGATCAGGTTAAAGGCGACTTCCTTGTTGCTTCCTGTATTGATAATTGTTCATACCTGATAGTTACTCCAGATCTGGGTCTTTTAAATTGCAAATTACAAACACTGTTTCAGCGTTATCTTTTCACATTTTTGGAATGGTGTCTACAGTTTCATTTTGCAGCAAATACACCCACATCAACTACGTTTTTAAAAAAACAACTGCAGTGTCCAAGTTGCAGCGACATAGTTTGGACTTCCACCTTTTCCTGTGTTTGATGCTTTTCCTTAAGACCAGATTTCCTCCTGTTTGCTGTCGAGGTTTTTTTTCTTTTTTTCTTTTTCTGTCTCTCCTGGTTCCATTTTGTTTTAAATGTCTCCACCATTATGTTTTCATATTCTGTAGCCATAAGGGTTAAGTTCTACTGTTCCCTGAGCTTACCATCTGTGTGTTCGGTTGATTGATCTCTCAGCGACTGAGAACCGAGAATTCTCCCTCAGCAATGAAGCTCCAGATTTCCCTTTGGTTTTAGCATGGAGGCGTTTGAGACAGACGGTGAAGGGATGTGTGTGTGTGTACACAAGGAAGTATGCAGAGGCAGTTCCGTCAGGAAACAAGGCAGTGTAGCCGTCTCAGGTGCCAGATTTGCGATACCATTAAGGAGAGTATACTAGGCACTATCCTCCAAGACATTGTCCTGCACAGGCCCCACTGAAATGAGGAAGGATGTGCAAGGGCATCCATATGGGAGTGTTGACAGCCCCCTTGCAGACTGAAATCAAGTCTGAGGGGGACACAAATATGTGCTACCTAATTCTGCTCTTAATTGTATGTAATGTAATAAAAATGTGCTATAAAGACAATTCTTATAACAACCCCTGTCAGAGCTTTCCAGGTACAGTAGAGAATACTTAGAAGTGGTTTTCAAGTCCCTTCTTCTGGGGCTACCCTAGGACTGTGCAGCTTGCCCAAGGCCACATAGGTTGGTTCAGCACACAGGAGGCGCAGTGAAGACTTGAACCCCCAACCTCTAGCTCTGCAATAGTAGTGCCTCGACTTACGACCATAATCCGTTCCAGATGATGAGTGTAACTCGAAATGTCCGTAAGTCGAAGCACCATTTCCCATAGGAATGCATTGAAACCTCATTCATCCCTTCTGCCTGGGGCGGGGGGGACACAGAAACAAACAAAAACCACTGCAAGCCCCATAGCAACGCACTGGGGCCGAAAAACAAACACGCCAAAGCAAAAAGAAAACACAGCCAGCCCCAGCAGAACACTATGGGGCTGAGAAAAAAACACTCAAAAAATCACACCACCCCACACAGCCAGCCCCAGTGTAATGTCATGGGGTTGGGAAAAAAGACACAACCCCCCCCACACACAGAGTGAGTCCCAGTGGAACACCGTGGGGCTGGGGGGGGGAAGACAACCCCCCACCAGCCCGAGCAAGATGGGGCTGGGGGAAAAAACACCAAAACACACAAAACATCACAGCACAGAAACATAACCCCCCCAAAAAAACCTCAAACCCACCCTGCAAAACAAATGTACTTACTCAGGAGCAGAAAGCAGCACCAAGCAGTCAGAAACCTTCTCCCATAGCACTCACTCTAACTGCTGGGGCAAAAGAACTACAAAGAAGCAGCCTCTTTGCCTACCAACGGTTAGCAAATTTGAATTCCCCGCCTTTTCCCCCTGCCTTTTTCCTGTCGCAACTTGAAGCTCCAGCCGCAAGTCGAAGCAAAATTTTGCGGCCGGAGCTGGTCACCGCTCAAAATGGTTGCAAGTCGGGACATTCGTAAGTCGAGGCACCACTGTATCTGCACCACTGAGCTGTCGAGCCAGCCCTTAATTGTAAAAGAGTCTTCTATTTTTTAATTTATATATTGAAATGGGCACAAAGGCATTTTCTGCACAATTTTCTGATTAGCCCCTTCACATGGATGCCAAATATGAAGCAAGTGGGGTTTCTGACAGGCACAGGCTATGGGGAGCCAGCTGGCACAACCTCATATGTACTTTCAGTCCTGAAGGAGCAGCTTATGCGACACCCACCCTTCCATCTGTAGTAGCAACACAGCCCTACTGTTTACAGGGTGTGAGACAACCGCTTCATATGGCAGATTCTGGAGTGAAGTAGCAATGGCCGTCTCATAACTATTCCCTTCTGTTGAAAGGCTGAGCTCTTATTTTTAAAAATTCATTTTCATTATGCAAATCAAAAGAAGAAGAAAACTAAAGCATACCTCCAGACGAAAAACTGAGGGATAGATTTAAAGCTGACAGAGGATAGATGGCCTATCCTTCACCTTCTAACCTTGCCATCAAGTGCAGTAGAGGACACTGTCTTATTGTCAGTGTGAAAATAAAATTAAGTTGGATTAATTCTGTATTGGAATGGGATATGTGTACTATTCTGTCATTTGACCCAGACAGCAAAATATTTTAGGTCAGCCTTCTGGAGAAGTGGAGGATTAGAAACCTGCAGTGTGCCCTGTAATGAGACTAAAGCCACAGGATCATGATTTCTACACAGTATGCCAGAGATTTTTATTGTATGCCATTCTTGACAGAACTGCAGAAAAGTTTCTTGTCTACTCATGATAATTTCTGTAGAGACCTGCTGGGCTAAACAGTATTGAATTTATATTTACTTTAATTCTGAAAGCAAACTCCGATTAATCCCAGTACATCCATTTGGTTTTAAATTAATTTTCATTTCTGTTCCATTAAAAAAAATGGTTAGATGTTGTTATATTGAATGGAAATCAATAAAAAGTAATTAAAAAGGAAGTGTGCTCATAAACATAACAGTAGCTGAAATTCTTTTGCTTAGCATATAGATTTGTTCTAGAGTAGGCCCATTGAATCAGTGGGGATTTGGTGGGTCAACTGCTTCATGGGTTCCACTGATTCAGTGGGCCTATGCTAGTTGTGACTTACTGACAGATTTCAACTAATGTCTGTTTATGTGAGTAATTAAAAGGAAAAGTGATGTCACTATAGAAATGAATGACACAGATGAATTTGTCAGTGAGGGGAAGGGACCAGATTTTGATGACTATTTTCAGAATGGTAACTATGCTTAGGCTGTTGTGGGGAAAAGAAGCAAAGAATTTATCAGCTTCTAAGATGCCACATGCATGAAACTTCTTTTTATATTTAAAATAATAATAATGACATGCCATCAAGTCAATGCTGACTTCTGGTAACCCTTGTCAGGATTTTCTAGGTACAGAGTACTCAGAAATGGTTTACTGTTTGTTCTGGGGTGCCCAGGGATATGTATCTTGCCCAAAACTACACAGATTGGTTCTTCTCTCATAAGACTAAGTAGGGAATTGAACTCTCAGCCTCTGGGCTCTGCAGCCAGGTGCTTAGCTCCCTCAGCTTTTACCAGATATGAATTACACCGCCTGATTGTTTTCTTTGTTTTTATATATTACATTTTTTTTCCTGAATTCCAGATGCAAACTGTCTCTGAGGATGGCTCAGAGCAATTAAAAATCAGGTTCCCTTTCCACTGGCAGATGTTATTCTTTGATGACAATGAGGTCTTTCCTTTAGGCCCCCACCGTTCAAGTGAGGGGGAAGACACTGAAAAGAAGAAGGGGCAGGCGGGGTGTAGAAGAAGGAACGAAACTGTTTCACTCCTCACATCTGTTTCTTGTCCTCTCCTACAGTCCAAGTTTGCCATGTCCTGGTGTTTCCTGCTAAATGCTCCCCTGTTCTGGACTGTGCCATGGACTCCATGTTTGAGGATGACATCAGCATCCTTGCCCAAGATGGCCTGGTCCAAGATGATGAATGGCTGGACAGCCCTAACACCGACCTCTCGAGTGACATGTGCTCAGCCTCTCATTTTGCTCTCATCACGGCCTATGACGACATCAAGAACCGCTTAACGGGACTGGAGAGGGAGAATGCCATACTCAAGCGGAAACTTAAGATGTATGAGATCAAAGTGAGTAATAGTGCTATACAGTGATTGATGTATATGCTGTGGTCTGATGGTTCTCATCTTTCTGGTTTGCCGGTGTTTTGCCTACAGCTCCCTGAAGCTCCAGCCATTCTGAGGGTTGTAGCCCATAAATATTCTACCTTTTGTGGATGTTCACCAGGATCAGTCTGGATTTTAAAACAAAACTTGGGGTTTTGTATAAGCCCAAGCCTGCATAGCGAATGGTTAGAAACAGTGCAAGCTATAGTCCAACAGTATCTAGAGGCCATTGGTTCACCATTCCTATTCTAACTCATGTGTGTTAAGGGCTGATTGATCCCAATAGGTAGCACCAGTGATTATCTGGGTTGCTAGAATTCAAAATGTATTAGATTGCTGAATGTCATTGGAGGGGAATCTTACTAGTTGTGTCACATCCCAGAAGATGATAGTGGTGGGGCAGTGTAGAAATGTGGTTTTCCTGTGACATAACTTACCATCTGGGAGAGAGTCTCCTGATGTTTGGGAATGCCCTGGCAGTGCTGTCTGCTAGAGCAGTGGTCCTCAACCTTGGGCCTCCAGATGTTCATGAACTACAACGCTCAGAAACCTTCATCACCATCTCTGCTGACCAGGATTTCTGGGAGCTGAAGTCCAAGAACATCTGGAGGCCCAAGGTTGGTGACCATTGTGCTAGAGTTTTAGCCCGATTCTTGTGTTTTATTAATTTGAGTATATTAATTTATGCTGCTCCTTACTGTTTGCTTTTCATGGATAATGTGATGTGTGAGTTTGTAATATTGTTTTTTATTTATCGCTTACCATTGCCACTGTTTAAAAATTATGGAGTAATGTGCATGCAGTAAATAGATAAATACAGGGTGGGTTTTATCCACGGGTGGCTTTCCATTAGCACAAGGGTGGATAATTAGTGGCCCTCTAGGTTTTGTTGGACTGTTAGAACCAGAAAAGCTAATGGTGAATTTTCATGGGAACTGAAATTCCAGCAATATCTGGAGAGCTGCATGTTCCCCATTCCTGCACTAAAAGAAAATTTAGACTCTTGTTTATCACCAGTTTCCACTACATACTGCTGTTCTCTGCATCACACTCCATATGAGTCTCCCAGTCCTCCAAAACACATTTTTAAGAGGCTGGGGAGGAGTTGCAGGAGCTCAGCCAAAAGAGGGTGCCCTGCAGTGTGCAATTGAAAGTGCCTTTCACTAATGCACAGTCCCACTGCATGTAAAATTCTTTGACAAAAATAAAACAGAAGAGGAAACCATTTTTAACATAAAACCGCACACAGTAATGTATATTTATTTACAGAGGCAGAATTGGAAAGAATTACACCTCACCATAGTGACCAGCTGACCTATGTGTCTGCTCAGGCTGGTGTCCAGGCGTTAGGCACCACTTCAAGGCACGGCTTTGTGTTCCCTTCTCAGGGAAGGGTCTGTTTCCTTAAACGAAGAATGGGCAAAATACAGGCCATGGACCGTGTGTGGCCTCTCTGCGCCATTTTGTAGCACCCAGGCTGCCACCTGAGTCCCACACCAGTTCAAAACACCAGCAAAAATGTCTGTTGGCCAAAAACAGCCTATTTTGGGGAGGAGGGAAGGCCTCTAGGAGCAAAAGGCAACTTTTTTCTGCCCTTAGGCCGTGGGAGCATCACCCTAAAGCCCCTAGCCCTCCAAAATGGATTTTTAAGAAATACCTGTTTTTGGCCATTTGTCTCTGTAGTGGAGACAGGGAGACTGAATTTGGCTCTCAGACTTTGGCCACCCTTATTTTTAGCACAACATGTACTGGGTAGTCCTTTTATTAGAGGGGTTGTAGCAGAAGAGGCATTCCCCTGCCCCAATCACATATGTTCAGGTACTCATACCACATCAGTTGTTGGATCAGGGGTGTACTTCAAGAGGTGCATATGACCCTCAAACCTCCCACCCAGGCCTTCTAGGTTTAAAAATCCCAAGTCCTCTTTTTAAAAATTCTTCTCAAAAGTTGCCTATTTTAGAGCTGTGGTGTACACTTTGGGATCTGGGGAGGGCTGAGAATGCCCAGCCCCAATACCTGAAAAGAGAAACTAGAAGTGCCTGTTCAGTTTTCTTTTTAAATGGCAGTTTTTGATCTAAGCTCCTTTTTTTCTGACAGTTTTCAGCATTTCCAAAGCTGCTGAGGCCTGTGGGGGAGGATCTTGGGACAGGAATTTGATCCCCAAGACTGCTGAGATTACCCACCGTTGCTTTAGACTTGTCATAAATCTCGTTTTGGTGTCTGTAGCAAGAGACTAACAGAACTATCCCACTGATATTTAAGGCTTGAAGTTTTAACTTTTGCATACTCATTTCTTAATGCTTTCCCTTTGCACAAATATTTGGAGAAGAAAGCTATCCATAATTAAATACGCACAGAAAAATCAATGTTTACTCAGTTTTCTTCGTTGTGCTCCTGGCCCACAGTTCCCCCTGATCAGTGAATTTGGAGAGGAGCGCATCTTCCCTGCTTATGACTCCAAGGAGACCTCCCTTTTGAAGAGTGAGAAGGCGAACCTCCAGCAGCAACTGAATCAGTTCCAGCGGGAGGTGAGTGTGACTTTGCCTGATGTGCTTGGCTTGTATCTTCTTGCCGGTTGCAAGAGGCACTGTGCTCAGGAGGAAGGCATCTTGAGTTTGCTAGATGATTGCAGCCCACTCACCACAGGTGTCATGTCAAGTGATGTTGTCAGACTTGCTGAGGATTAACTTCAATCATGGAGACATTCTCCAGTTCCTTTACTACTTAGAGCCGATCCAAGACATTGAGTTGCCTAAAGGGAAGAACAGCATGGTTTCCTTCCTATTCCATCTGCAGAATCTGACTGGACTTGTGGTTGAATCTTATGTCAACCTTGTTATCCATCTGTCCTGCTCAGAAGACAGCAGGCTAGCTTAGGGGGCAAAAAGGTAGTGTGAAACACCCAGTTCTGTCCTTCAGCAGAGGAAAAAGGCCAAGGGCTGACATGGCCATCCCCTTCACATCACCCAGCTGCTACCTGCATCAACCACCTTAACTCTGCCTTAAGGTAGAGAGATGTGGTAGCCTTAGGATGCAAATGCTGGATAGCCTGGGCAAGACAGTGGAGGAAATCATCCAACTGGTCTCTTCTGGCTCATGATAGGACCAGTCTTGCTGCTTCTGCTAGGGGGATTTAATCTGCCCCTTTCTTTTCTCCATTGTCCTGCTGCTGCTCTAGCACGAAGAATAGGAGTTTACTAGAGCTTGTGAGTGCATACAGTGCTGCAGCAGTGCAGGATACCTCCTACCTTTTTGAAGGTGACATTAACAAAGCTTTTCCAGCTACACCTCTATAGTTTTGCTACAGCTCTGAAGCAAAAAGCCAGGAAGAGGAGGACTCTAATCACTTTCGGTTCCAGAAATTCCATAGTACAATGCCTAGATGGCATTGTAGAACAGGTAATGGGAGTCAAGGCCAGGATTGGGTTACACATATTTCAAATTGCACCTTCAAACTAGGTGAGCCTAGTACAGTGCTGCTTTAGATCTGTTACTGCATTTGCATCCTGTTACTGCATTTGCATCTTAAATTCCAGGGTTGCTTTCATTAGAGAAGAACCAGATCTTTCTTTCTCTCTCATACATATCCGCAAATGCACAGATACACTCACAATAAATGCTGTTGGTTTAGTTAAAATCTGACTGAGATCTATGGGATCCATCTCCTGGTTCCCAGCGAGCTATGAAACTCATCTGGCAGCTTTGGGCTGGATTCTCTCTCTCTGTGTGTATCTTAGGAAATGTGCAGTTATTTTTTGTGATCTCTTTGTGTGTGTGGGCTTGGCCCAGACTTTGAAGTTGGCCTGACAGTGAATTCCCACATAATAATATATATTGCTCTTTGCAGATTTAGACACTGCTTAACAAGAAATGTCTTCCAGCGGTAACGATCACAAACACATGAAGATGAAACATGGTTCAGATATAATTAAAAAGTGCCTGCATTCATTCATTTGTTCATTTTCTCTGTCTGCTGCCTCTCATTCTCTCTCCCAGCCTCCTGGCATGATTTATCTACCTGACAGGGTTGTTGTGAATCATAGAAAAATTGAGTTGGAAGGGGAGCCATATGTTGTTATCCTATTCCCCCTGGTCCTTCAAAGTAAGCTTCAGCCATTTGTGATGATGAAATGCTTCATGTGGATCATGTCTGCTAAAGTGAGAGACTAGCCGGTAACTCAGTGCTTTCTGTTTTTGAACTAACGTTTTTACTTCCTTTGCTTTTCTCTCCTCTTGCCTTCTTTTAGTTGCAGAAAAGCAAGGAGAGGGAAGAACAGCTGGCTGAGATGATCCAAGCCTATGAGAAGTTGTGTGTGGAGAAGACCGACCTTGAATCAGAGCTGGAGCAGATGGTAGGTTTTGCCAGCATTGCAAAGCCCAAGTGCTCCTCTTTACATGCACCAGTTTGCATAAGTCTATCAAGTGAGGTGGTGGATTGGCTGTTTTTGCAGCTACCCTGGCTGCAGCCAAGTGATCCTCATGAAGGGCGAGGAAAAAAGCCAACCTAAAACCCTGCAGACTCAGTACTCCCAGTCAGAATTGACAATACTGGGCTAGAGGGAGCAATGGCCTGATTCAGTATAAGGCTACATGTTATGTTCTTGGAAATGAACATGTGTAGAAAATTCATGCCATAGACAGAACATGCCAAAAGCCACACCCACAAGGTCTTTCTGAATCAGATATATTTTTTTCCTTGGGTTGGTAAGATTAATACTTCATGTGGAAGGGAAGGGAAGTGCCTATATCACATGCTTTAATCTGTGTGTCATTCCACCCCAAAAGAACATTTCTGCCATAATGACCCCTAGGGTAGAATGAGAGAAGCAAAAATTAACTATAAAGCTGGGACATAGGTCATATTAGCCAAATCCTGTTTTCACACAATCAAGCCCTATGTTTCTGGAAGATTTGTAGCTGAGTTTGGAACTGGAACTTGGAAGGGACCAGTTCTTTCCCCCCAGTAATTAAGGTATAACGACATTATTTTATAGCAATAATTTTCACTCTTTTAGATAGTTAACATGCTTGGCTTCACACTGTCTTGTGCTCTCTTCTGGATATTGAAATGAAAATGAGGATTTGCACTCTTTTGAAAGTGTCATTGTATCTTTAAATAGTTAACATGGTTGGCTTCACACTGTCCTGTGATCTCTTCTGGATATTGAAATGAAAATGAGGTGGGAGTAATAAAAGTATTTTTACAGAACTAGAAGTCCAGTTCAATCTTGCCTTTCCTAAGTGAATTACTTTCTAGCAAGTGGAGATTTGTAACTCTGATTTCGAAGAAATGGTGAATAGGTTTTAATTCAAACTTTGCCAGAACTAAGGTTCAGAACTTTATTCTCAAAACAAATTGAGCACTTTGAACAGCTCCTTTAAACTTTTTAAGACTAAAATCTGGAATGGATTCACTGTCCCACTGAAATGTTGGCCAATCTCCATTATCCTCCAGATGTGTTGGAGTACAATGTAGGGAGTCCACATGCCTTGCTTTACAGAGAACTGTGCTGTTTCAAGACATCCTGTGATTTAAAGGCTGTCCAATCCCAATGTGGTTTAAGAAAAAAATGAAGATGAGGAAAAATGGCAAGCGCTTAAAACAGAATACAGTGGTGCCTCGACTTATGACCATAATCCGTTCCAGAAGATGGATGTTAGTTGAAATGGTTGTAAGTTGAAGCATGCATTGATGGATGTTACTTGAAATGGTTGTAAGTTGAAGCATGCATTCCCATAGGAATGCATGGGAACACAATTAATCCGTTGAGGCACCCCCCCAAAATAAAATAGAAATAAAACACTGCAAGCCCCATAGGAACACTCTAGGGCTGGCCAAATATATATATATTTGGCCCCACACTGGGACTGAAAAAAAATCACCAAAAACCAAACAACAATACTTGAAATGGTTGTAAGTTGAAGCATGCATTCCCATAGGAATGCATGGGAACACAATTAATCCGTTGAGGCACCCCCCCAAAATAAAATAGAAATAAAACACTGCAAGCCCCATAGGAACACTCTAGGGCTGGCCAAATATATATATATTTGGCCCCACACTGGGACTGAAAAAAAATCACCAAAAACCAAACAACAACACAGCGTAGAAACATACCGGCCCCCAGCCTAAAACCATTCTGCAAAACCCACCTTGCCTTACCAGGCAGTCCCAAGCCACCCCGACCCCAGCCTAAAACCACTATACAAAACCCGCCTTGCCTTACCAGGCAGTCCCAAGCCACCTCTGATGGCCTCCATGGACCAATGCCATTGCCACCGCTGCTGCCTGACGCACAGGCGGCTGCTTGCCAGGGTGACTGTGTCAGGCCTTGGCACTCCTCACCACCCTCCGTGGGCCGATGCCGCTGCTGCTGCTGCTGGTGCCTGACTCTGGCTCCGGCACCAGTGGCTGCTCGCTGCGGCTGCCGCATCGGACCTTGGCACTCCTCGCCACCCTCCATGGGCCGATGGTGGGAAATTCAAATGTACTTATGGCCCATGGAGGGCGGGGAGGAGCATTGAGGGACGCCCCCGCTGCCGCCTCCCCCCGCCCCTGCATCCCTTTCTCTAACTGTTGGGGCGAAAGGCCTGCCGCATCGGGCCTTGGCACTCCTCGCCACACTCCGTGGGCCGATGGTGCGAAATTCAAATGTACTGATGGCCCATGGAGGGCGGCGAGGAGCGTTGAGGGACGCCCCTGCTGCCGCCTCCCCCCGCCACTGCATCCCTTTCTCTAACTGTTAGGGCGAAAGAGCTACAAGGAAGCAGCCTCTTTGCCACCAACTGTTAGAATTTCCCGCCCCTTTTCCCTGCCTATTTTTTGGTTGTAACTTGAAGCTATGGCCGCAAATCAAAGCAATATTTTGCAGCCAGAGCTGGTCGTAAGTTGAAATGGTTGTAAATAGGGGCATTCGTAAGTCGAGGCACCACTGTATCCACAATGAGAACGCACATGGTTTTCTTTTGTTGCAGTCTTCCTCACTATTGTGAGATGGTCTTGTTTCTGTTCAAATTACAGAACTTTTTCTAAATATGCAACTGTACATATGAACAAACATATGGAGCTTTGTATCTCCTTTTATACTCTTTTCTGGTGAGGCATGCTGTCTTTCTTGGCGATGCATATGTGGCCACCTTACTTCATCTACAGCTAATGTAGCCTTGCCATGCTTGTTGGGGAAAATGGGAATCACAATCCCAGCACATCTGGAGGGCACCAATTTAGGCAAGGTTGCTCTAGGACAAGAAATGGCTGACACCCATGAATGCAACTCTTTTTTCTAATTTTCCAGACTGCACAGCGTTACAATAAATACAATACAAAACCAAACCACCAGTGACTAGGATGGAGTAGAAACAAAACCAACAAATATTATTAAAGCCGAGATGGAGTAAAAATAAAAACAAAACCAACAAATATTATTAAAGCCGTTGTTTCAAGTTTTATTTGCATCTCCAATAAGTCTTCTGTAATTTTTTAAATGTTTGCAATCTATGCATCTATTCTGAGGAAGTCATTAAAGGCCACAGTTAAGTTCTGTGAAGTGGTATGAATCAAGAAGAACCTCCTGACTGTGTGTATGCCATTGAATGGGGCAGAAAAGAAGAGGAAAACGGCAGAGATCAGGAAAACTGAATCTCTCTCTCTCTCTCTCTCTCTCTCTGTGTCTTAGATGTAGATAAGAAGTAAAGGAGATTTGAAAGCAAGAAGTGTGTGTCTTAGAAGTAGGTAAGAAGTAAAGGAGATTTGAAAGCAAGAATTGAAAAAAGAGAATCAGGTTAAACTGAATGAGTGCCAAGGAGAGAGATCCAGGAAAAAGAGAGTGTGAGAATGTGATGTGAAAGCAAGAGAAAAGATTTGGGTGTTTGCTTTGATCTTGTTAGCAAAGCTCTTGGGACATCAATGACATTATTCAGGAAGCCAAAATAAAGGAAGAAGCTGATCAAGATCAAAGGATCAAAGCAGGATGGAAAGTGGGAAATTTCAGCAATGGGGAACAGAGGATTGGCATGAAAATTAGGGGCTTCCAATCCAGGCAAAGCTTTAAATGTTGTTTAGCATATTTGACTGTTAGGAAATATTTTGAAAAGTTACTTGATAATTTATGAGTAATGTATTGCTATTACTTTTTAAAAATGATACTAATGACTCTCCAAATCTCTTCCTGGTCATTGACTGTAATAAATAACAACAACAACAACAACAACAACAACAACAACAACAACAACAACAACAACTCTCTAAATCAGCATTTAGGAAATAATAAATACATGTTACACATTACACTAAGAAGTAATGTGTAACATGTATTACACATGAAGTAACATAACCATATTACCAATGGTTATGTTACTTCATATAAAGAATGCTGCTCTGCCCTTGATACTAGAAAATAATATGGTATAGCTAATGGCGTTACTTTTAACATCCAACTTTTCTGGATTTAAGGGCCTTTCTTGCTAACAGTATTAATGGAAGCCGGTTGTCAAAAATAATGCACTGCAGTGAATTTAAATGTCTCTTCTCACTCAGCTCCCACTCTCATCTCTCTCTCCATCCACTCTGGACCTGTTCCCACTGCAGAGAGCACTGGTTGAGACGCATCTGAATCGGATCCGAAGTCTAGAGCAGCAACTGAGACAGAGAGATGGCAACTCATTCCAGAACCTCAATTCTCAACTTCAAAACCAGGAAGTCCAGTACTTGTCGCTTCATGGTGGCCATGGTGAATCTTCTGAATACTGATCTGGGGAAAGTGTGGGTCCTCTGCCCCCCCCAAAAAAAACACTTGTTACTATAGTTGAAATTCATTAGACAAGGCAAAAGTGTGGGTCCTCTGCCCCCCCAAAAGAACACTTGTGCTTTCTGCAGTTACTATAGTTGAAATTCATTAGACAAGGAATAAGTCTCACTGAGTACAGTGGGAGTGAACTTTGCACTATCATGCATGTGATTATCATGTGGGATAGTGGGTTAAATCCAGTTAGTCCCAGCAACAGCAGACCCACTGAATCAATGGGATATATAATTTTTGACTTTTAAAGCATCATTTATTTAGTGGGTTTAATCTGATGGAGAGTTACTACTGGATTTAAACTAATATATGCATGTGGTTTGAACCCTTGAAGTAGATTTAGATTTCCTAGCAGTACTCAGTCTTAAACCCCACTCCCATGCCAGTATGGGCAATCATGTGTACATAGAAGCTGGCTACCATTCAGGTATTGTAGATAATATGGGCAAATGGATGCTATGCATTTGTTTCTCCTCCTGGATTCAGGTGTTGGCACAGCCTAGTTTATACATTCAAGAAATAAGACAACTTATGCACTGATTATCAGCAAAGACAGTCCCTAATCAGGGGAATGGGCAGATGAAATATGGATTGTACTCACCATTTCCAGGATATCAGGTGTATTTCAAGGGCCTGGAAAAGCAGTTGGTGCAGTCACATGGACAGGCAACAGCCTAATTAATTAAATTGCACAATCTAGTTTGTTGATTTTCTGTGTGATAGGGAATAGTTTGAACTGACGCACAGTTTTTTCCAGCCAGTAGATGGCACCGTGGTCCCTTGCTATATAATTTTTGGTGCATGCAGTCAGGTTCTTTTAAAGATTGAAGACAAAAATGCTTCATGATTGCTAACAGAGAACATCTAAAAGAAATTGACACCCTAAAAGAGAGAGAGAGAGAGAAATGTGTTGGAGCAGGGAGGAAAATTGCCATGATGGGCCAATTCTCCTGCCTGACGCTTACACAGTTATTATGTACTGAAGGGACTTTGGATTGACTACTTTCATAAAGACAAATAGTTTTTTCCTAAGGTATCATTTTACTAGTATCTGGAAAGTTTAAATTAATTCATGAGATATGGAGTGATGGACATGGGAGGGGCATGCTTAGTGTGTTACATGAAAGTGACAGGAGTGATCAAACATTTAGGTCCAAAGGCTCTACCCTGTAACCCAGGTCTAGGCAAAGAGTGGCCTGCAGTCCTTCAATGTTGTTGATGGCAGATCTTGCCAACCCTAGCCATCGTGGCTAAAGGGGGGGAAATTCCGTGAACAATGATGTTCAACAACATCTGGACTTTCTCCACCCCTTACTCCAGTCTCATGATGAGTGATTATCTTATGGCTGTACAAGGTCTGTGAATATTTTGTGGCTGTACTGCTGGGAAGAGTGAGGTAGATGCCTCAAGCGTAGATGCAGGGAGACAGAAGTGTCCATCAACAGGCTTTCTCTTCTGGGTCCTCATTCTTCTCTCTTAAAAGAGAGGCTTGCATGTGCCAAAAAGTTTATCCTGATCCCTTAAACTGACTTGCTGCTGACAGAGCTAATAGAGGATGGTATCGTATCATAGAATTGTTGTAAGATTTAATGACTAGTCCAAGCAACTCACATGGTATGATGAGGTGGTGAGGCAGTCTTTTATTTAAGGCAGCAAAATGTCTTAGGATGCTGGCTGCCTTATAGAATCCATCTTCCATAATGCTTCACATTGCATGATGAGGTGGTGAGGCAGTCTTTCATTTAAGGCAGCAAAATGTCTTGGTCTTTTGGGAGACATAGGATGCTGGATGCCTTATAGAATCCATCTTCCATAATGCTACCAATTATTTCCACATGTAGGCCGCTCAGCACTTAGCATTCCTAAGTAACTGACCAGGGGTCCAGTACGTACACTGTTACGTATGACTCACTGATGGTTGTGTAACCTGGCTCCCCTCCCCTCCCCCCTTTTTTCTGGGCAATTTATAATTTACAATTTCCCACAAAAACCCTGAACTAGCAGCTTTCTGATGCACTTTCAGAAATTTAAAAAAGTAGCTTCCTAGTGCTGTTTGTACAATCTGATATGCCTGTTGGGGCCTACTGACAGGGGAAAACTCACCAGAGAAGGCTTTACCCAGGGTCTCCTCAAATCTTGAAATGACCCTGTTCACACATTTCTTTATGTGATAGCACACTGTGTAAGTTACACACGTGAATTACACCAACCCCCATCATCTTACGATATATTAGCAGGTGTATGTCTATTATGATAGCTCGTGCTTGTAACTATTCCTAACCATACCACACCACCACTATTTCCAATTTCTTCTCGTCTTAATTCTGACAGCAGGCCTTGTCTAAACATCTGCTTAGTTCTTTAAAATTCTGGCCAGGTGGCAATCCTGTCTCTGTGAGTTTATTGTTTCACCGAGAATGCTGTATCACTCACTCACTCACTCACTTTCATGGAAAGTATTTCCAAAGTAGGATACCACACAGAGCATTTTAGCTTGTGGTGGTGGTTTTTAAATGCAGTGGAAAATACTGCTTGTAGCTTCACCTGTCAACAAAATGGCTGCCTCGTTGTTTCCAAAATAGTAGCCAAGTTCTGCCATATATTCTTCCATAACTGGAGTCACAGGTCACCCTACAGAGACTCTGATAAACCTTATACCCGTGATGATGGGCCCACAGCTAATGTTAAGACCTTCATGGCCTCTTGTTGTTACTCGTCTTCCCTTCCTTCTGTTCCTCTGTGCCATTACTACCATGCACCAGCCCTCTCTGAGTATATGCGAGAAGTAACACGAGACCTCTTTTGGACTACAGCTCCCACAATCTCTGTCAAGCTGGCTGGGGATTCTGGGATTTATAATGCAGAAGCCATTTATCCGGTCTTTACAAGGAACTGCCTTCTTTTTTCTTGCACCTTTAATCTGGTTGTCCAAATCTGGTGAAGATTTGGCCCTGAGGAAGAGGGCATGTGAATATCAAGTGAGGGGAGGGAGCACCTGCTCAGGAAAGGGGCCAATTGAGGCCATCATATCCTACCCTCTGCATCCAGAAATGACACGGTATTTTGCATTTGCCTGTCAACCTCCTCCTCCTCTCTATTTTTTCCTTGTTTCTCTGTTGCTAGTCCTGGATCGCTCCATGAGCTGGCAGAGCCCCAGGGGCCTGGATCAAGTGGAAGGCTTGGAAGTGCAGAGACTGGAAGCAGAATTGGAAGAATCAAGGCAGGAAGTCCAGAGTTCTCAACACCGGGAAGAACAGCTGAAGGTCGAATGTGAAAGACTGCAAGCTGAATTGAAGCAGCTGCAGGAGACACGGGCTCAGGTAACTTCAAGCCAGTACAGTGGTGCCTTGCATAACGAGTGCACCGTTTAAAGACGAATCCGCATAGCGACCCATTTTTTGTGATCGCTAATGCAAGCGCATTGCAGTGTTTAGATAGGCTGATCGGCGGTTCCAAAATAGCGACCACATTGCGATGTTTAGATAGGCTGATCGGTGGTTCCAAAATGACAGCCGCATCAACAAAATGGCCGCCCGCAGCATTTTCGCACCCTGCCCTCCGCGGGCAGCGAAAATGGCGGCCAGATGGGGGAATCTTCGCTTACCAGTGAGTTTTTCCCCAAACGGAGTTTAATGCGTTCCTATGGGTTCCCCCCCCGCATAGCGAAGAATTTGGATAGCGACGTTATTCCTGGGACGGATTAACGTCACAGCCGCATCAACAAAATGGCCGCCCGCAGCATTTTCGCACCCTGCCCTCCGCGGGCAGCGAAAATGGCGGCCAGATGGGGGAATCTTCGCTTACCAGTGAGTTTTTCCCCAAACGGAGTTTAATGCGTTCCTATGGGTTCCCCCCCCGCATAGCGAAGAATTTGGATAGCGACGTTATTCCTGGGACGGATTAACGTCGCTGTGCGGGGCACCACTGTATTATAGGGAGGCCCCAAAGCAATGGGTCAATGTTAGATGTTTTGTCTCACTTCCCAGAAAATCAGCCAAGGTGTTGTGTAGAAAAAACAAAATCAGATAGGGATCACTCTGTGATAAAATGTGATCCCTATTTTCCTAGTCAGTTGCTCAAAGCATGAGCAAGCATAGCAAAGTATGCAGCTGTAAATAATTTTGGAATGTATTCCTTGGTATTCTTTGCTTCTGAGTTTGAAAAGTGTAGAATCTTGGGCTACATCTAGAGGTCTAGGTGTAGACCTATTTTGGATTTACATATAAACGTAGAGAATCCTAGGGATTGTAGGTGAAAACAAAAGAAAACAACAACAACAAAAGAAATTTTAAAAAAGACAAAAACGTGGTGGCATGTTAAAGATTAACTTTTGTCTTTTTTTAATGTGAGTTTTTGTGAACAAGTCCACTTCACCAGACATAAAGAAAAGGAGATATCAAAAATGTTCTAGCCTGATAGAAGTATAAATCCCATCAGCCAAGGAATCCAATAGCATTAACAACTTGTGCTTGAGTTTTCTTTTTCCATTCTCACTCCATTTTCTTTTGGAGTTGTTTCTTTTTACAGCACATCCCTGTGGGCAAAGGCTTCTTGGTTGTCTTTCTTTTTATGTAGGTGGCTCAGAGAGCCTTTCCAGCTGTAGAGTGAGATGTAAATGATTTTTTTAAAAAAAGGTAAAATGAATGAAAAACAAGGCCAACAATGTGGTTTAAGTTTTTAGTGTCAGTGTGGTTTTAGAGTGGACTGTTGGATCAATAAAACTGAGAAGTGACTTTTGTATCTTTCAATTACTGTATATATATATTGTTAGCCAGTTTTTAGCTAGAAGGCTTAGTATATTGTATGTTGTATTTGTTGCGCTTATATTTGAATATATATTATTAAGAATCCAAGGTAATCAGTTATGTTTGCTGGAATGAACAGAGGGGAAAAAAGTTAAACAAAACAAGAGCTCTGTGTTAATTAATAGATAGACTTTCATTTATAAATGTGAGAATTATTGTTGGGTTATATGGTCATGACAGAGATGTGTGAGTGTCAAGCTAAAAGTGGAAATTGGTAATTATGTGCAAATATTAATGCTTTGATTAATTTTGGATTAATTACACAATATTCAGGCAAACCAGTAAATCCGTAGGAATAAAGTTGTGTTTACTAGGTATGCGAGTCCACATTTAGTGAGGACAAATGGGCAACTCCATTTTGCATTTCGGAGCAAGAATCCATTTTGTGGAAGCAATGCATATTATGTCTAATTCAATTCATCACTTGCCCCTGGCATCCAGATTTCAACAATGCATAACTAGCAAGAAGTTTTATCCTTGGATGCATCCTTCCAAAAATGTGGAAACTTTATGGAAGCAGCACTGCACTAGGTTCCTGCTTATTCTACAGTGTAGTCTGGTTTCTGAGACTCGGTCATTCTAGTCCTGATATGGAGAAGTGCTGACTGAGGCCTTGAAGTTTGTTCTTGTGTAGAGAGGTAACCTGTGCCTGAGTTTTATCAGGCAGATGTGAATGAATCACATGAGATTGTCTTATATACCAGTGACGTTTTTGTAACACTTCCATTGTGATAAGGCCTTTCTTTGTGGGCCAGTTTGATCAGCTGGAACTGGAACCTTTTGGCAGCTACACCCAGCTCTTTACCTAAAGAGGCATAGTGGCCCTCCTCTCTGTTAGTTGTAGGCAGATTGGGGAAAGTACTTTATTTTGCTAATCTGATTGCTTTCCTTCTCTGCTGTTGGACTAATTTTATTTGGCTACACTTACTTTTGTGTTCTTTTTAGATTGCAGGCTTACTCTTACGTATGGTGGTTTTGTACTCTTAATTACTGTTGCACATAGGCTTATTAGAGACCCTGTAGCCCCCAAATCAGGGATAAATGGTTTTTAAATCAATTAATTTAATAAAATAATCAATGTACAAAAGAAACAACAGCCGCCAATAAAAGTGTTCCTACTTGGATTCTGGGTTGTGCATGAAGCCACTTGACTTACATGCAATAAGGAATCGCTTGAGGTATTGCAGTGAGGGCTCTAATTAGTGATTATCTGCCCCTGCAGTGATATCAGTTCCCTTATGCTGGTGTAAGTCGCACAAGGGATTTTGACCAACATTTGTCAAATACATTCTGGTTGTGGAAGAGATATTCCTAAAACACTTTCAAAATGGTGGGTTGTGGCAAGATATAATTAGCCCCTGCTTCTTTTTCTTACTGTTTTCTAGGATCTAGCAACCAGTCAGTCGGAGAGAGACATGGCATGGGTAAAGAAAGTTGGAGATGACCAGTAAGTGCCCAGTCTTATTAGTAGATGTTTATATTTGTTGCTGTTTAACACCTCATGGATGTGTGTGTGCAGAATCCATCCTATGAAATGAAATGGAGTGACGTTTTGTGGAAGTGTAGTTTATACCTAAGGGGAACAATTTCTCAGAAAGCAGGGTTGTTGAGTGTGTTCTCATCTGAGTTGTAATGTAATGGGAATGTGATGTCTTGGAACAACATATCCCAACAGGCCCTGGTGCAGCTCCTGTCTTTTAGAGTGAAGGAGAGGGGGAAAGAAGCGTAGAGTCTAAGAAAGATAGATTGAGAGAAAGGACTGCGGTCAGGATGGGGAACATGTGGGCTTCAATGCCCATTGTCTTGCACTATTGGGTGTCCTGGCTAATGCTGACAGGAGGTGAAACCAAATGACATTTGGAGGACCATATTTCTCCACCCCTGAACTACAGCTTGGAAGTAGTCTATAATGAACTGGTAAAGCACCAGCAGGGCTTCAGAATCTCACCTGACAGCCCTGGGACATGAAGTCCTAACCCTCTGCTGAAGTTGTAAAGTACTACTGCTAAATGGCTAATCTGGGAGGCCTGAACTATTGCAGATTGCATCCGGTTCTTCTGCTGTGATAAAATGTCTGGAAAATCTTCTCTTCTTTCCCTGTCCCATATAAATCACATATTTGTTTACCATATGTTACCCACCTGAAGTGGGTAGCCTGGAAGTGTGTATGTTAAAGCGATCTCTGGAACCCACCTGAAGTGGGTAGCCTGGAAGTGTGTATCTTCAGCTCTTTCCTTTGGTGCTAGTTATACAGATATACTAGTGGTTTATATATGTGTTACAGTAAGCATGGAATGAGATTACCTATGTGCTGGGGGTGGGGAAGATAGAGTACTGTGCTATGATAACTTGTCATGTAAATATGAGGTATATCTGAAGGATTTGTTTGCTTATTTCATTTTATACTGCTCATCTGGCTGAGGGCAATTCTAGGTGGTTTACAACAAACACAACAACAACATAAATAAAATATCAATTTGACAGATATAAAAATAATTGCATTGGGGAGGTTGTATAATATAAAATAAGAATACATGGGCAGAATGGAATATGGTAAGAGCACATTTTGATGAAGTAAAGCTGCGTTGGATGGATGAACTATGAAGAGACCTGTGGTACCTTAAATGTCGACAGATGTAATGTTGCATGAGCTTCCATGGTCTAACCCACTCCACCAGATGCACGAAATGTTATCCAGAATTTCTGGTGTATATATACAGTATACATGGTTGGGACAGGAACTGTAGATTGAGCAGTAAGAGAGAAATTAGAGTACAGGAAGCTGCTTTATATTGAATCAAACTGTTGATCCACCTGATCCATTACTGTTGAATGTTGACACTGGCACTTGTTCTCTGGGGTTTAAGGCATTTTTCTCTTTCCAGCCCTATGTGAAAATGTTGACAATTTGATCTGGGACCGTCTGCCTATAAAGCATGTACTCCACCACTGAGCTGTGGGAAAGTACTAACAGTGACAATTATGACTATCCCTTTGGAAATGGTTGCTTTGGGATGGTGGAATACGCGGAAGGATGCCTCACTGATCAAACATCAAGTAATGTGCAACTTAAGGGATGTTTAGAAAAGCTGAATTTCTATGAGCAAGAGATAATTTAGGGCAAGAAATATTCTTTGGTAGCCGTGGACACTCTTGAGACATGCACATAACAGTGTCATGCACTGTGATAATGGCTTAGCTTGGCTTCTCTTAAAGAGCTGCTTTTGCAGTGTCTGCCCTCCATGTGCTTTCTCATTGAACTGAAAATAAAGCAAAGTACCAGGGATGTTCGTATTTTGCCACCAAAGTCTTATATGGTCAGCCAGCAATTTTTGTATATAGAGTGTTTATATACCACATCTTTCTGCCTGACCACATAGTTCTGAGGTGGCTTACAATACGCAAAAATGAATACTGTAGACAGTAATTTTTAAAAATGCAGGTGAAGGCTTTAGAGGCTGGGGCAGGCTTCGAAAACTTTCACTTTCTAGGCCTTTACTAGCGTTGTTGCTGTGTAGAAGTTCCAGGAACCACAGAATAGCTTTTCTCCAGGACTCGCTATGTAGCACCATTCCTGGATAACTCCAAATAAGTGGAAGAGATCTCTCCATGTAGATGGATAGTTTTTGTTTTTTTGTTTTCATCAGTCACTGGTGATAGTAAAACCCACTCCTGTACCATTATTTCATCAATTTTTTTTCTTGTTTTTCCCCAATTGGAGAGTGGAAGCAAGTTTGGATCAGTTATGCAAAAAGCAAAAAAGGTCTCAGTTCACAGGTAGCTGAATGTACATGTGGTTATGCCTTTTTAAAGCTCCCACAAGGAGACATCTGATAGTCACTGTATAAGCAGCTTTCTGGATGGTGCAACAGACCAGCTTGTGTGATGGTTGGGCAGCCAGGCACGACTCTGCCTCCCATGAGCCAAGATGTCCACTGGTTGGCCCATTGGGTGGGTGGATTCCAGAAGCTTCCAGCCAGCTTTGCAAATACTGGAACAGTGTACCACCATATTGGACGCACCTCCTTCCTTCTCTGGGAGGCAAGACTTCCTATATACTGTACTGGGTGGTGTGGGTTTACTTGTTATTATTGTCAGAACTACTTCTCCCTAAAGAGATAGTGTCTTGGGCGAGGAGTCACTGTAGGCATAAGCGACCACCACTTTCTTACCTGAGACAGGTCCTTTAGCCTCAGAAGTGTGTAGTCCTTGCCCTATGCACAAGCTCAACCTCTTGCCTGCTTATGAGGCAACAAACGATTGACTGTGTGCTTCCTTAGACAGCACAACAGACTGACTAGGTAGACCTCTCTCTTCTAGTAGCAATTAGTGACCTTTCCGTTCCACACTGGATTTAGGTCCAGTCCTGCTGTTCAAGAGATATGTCCTGTGTTAGAATTCTAATTCTTTTATTAGGAAAATAAGATAGTTCCATTAGAATACAGTTGTAATTTTAAAAGCTCAAAACATAATCATATCCAAACAGTTACTATGATGCAAATACGCTTACTAATTTGGGGTTAAAATAATAACAGCTAAAACTATGCTAAGTAATCATCATGACAAGCATTCTACCTAACAGCTCACTAGAGAGGCTGGACAAATCTCTCTTCCCTTTTTTCTAGAAAAACAAAGACCTCTCTTACATGAAACAACCAGTTTCCTACTTGTCTCCAGACCTCTCTCTTTCTTACACTTCCAAGTTGTTAACCAATTAGGATTATGACGGCGTAACAAAGTTCACCGCCCCTGTTTCACATGAGATCGGCAGGTGTTTATCTGATTCCCAATTAGGAGGAATGTGGTGTTTGGTCCTCCTCTGTTCTTCTCTTGATCTTCTCAAACTCTGTTCCTAATCTTGGTGCAAGTCCAGAATAAACTCCAGAACAACAATCCCATGAGAACATTCAGTGGCTTAAATGCAAACTATACAGAAAACTTAACAGACTCCATCTTTGTATGGCTACAAGTCCCGTATGCTTTCTAATTCCTCACAGTTATGTGCTGTCAAATCAGAATTGGCTTAACTCTAATAGTGTTTTCAAAGTAAGTGAGCTATTTAAGGAGTGGATTATCTGTTACACACACATACTCAGGGAATTTCCATGGCAGAGCCCAGGAATCAGACCCCGGTTTCCTGAATCCTAGACGATGGGCCCTCTAATTTTCAGCCCTGCTAGGCAGGGCTCTGCCTCTCTTGTGCACGACTTCACCCTTGCGTGCGCAGGCAACTCCAAACCCCCCATGTGCAGAGTTCTATCGTGACTGTGTACACAACTTCACCCTTGTGTGCGCAGGCGACTCCAACCCCCCCCCCCCATGTGCAGAGTTCTATCGTGACTGAAACCAAAGGGGCTGAAAACAGTTGCTGCACAGAAGAGGAGGAAAGTGGTGGGGAGGGAGGCAGAGTCACACGCGCACCTTAGAAGGGAACCTTGGTTCTAGACCATCACTTTATCCACTACACCACACTGATTACCCTGTGTTACTTAGCCAGTGTTAAATTGGGTCTCAGCTACGTGGTGTTAGGAAAAGTAGCATATGTTTTTGATGACTGAAGCAAATTCTAGTCCTCATACTTTTTTTGGTTTTTTTTTTCTTCTTGAACGGATTAATTGCGATCCAGTGCATTCCTATGGGAAATGGTGCTTTGACTTACGACCATTTCGAGTTACGCCCATCTTCTGGAATGGATTATGGTCGTAAGTCAAGGCACCACTGTATTTAGAATTCTCTGCCGGAGAACTCCATTCAACTCTTAGCATCTAAAGAGTACCTCATGTGCAAGTACCTCATCAAAATACAAATTCTAGTATTCTGTAACCGTAATGGTTAAGATGGTGTGAAACTGATATAACTGTGTAGTATAGGCACACTTATATGATGAACCCTAGCACAGGAATTTCAGGGAAGGGAGGCTTGGAGTTTTAATTATTATTATTTTTCTAAATCTGGCATCTCAGTTTGCATGTTTTTTTTAATTAATTGAGTTTTGAAGAGTGAAAGGGAAGAGGGATTACAGAAAGGGGGTGTGAAGTGTGAATTTAAAATGTGTCAAAGGGAGCTGATGTGACACCTACCTCGCTCTTTAGTTGGGTTGAGTGAGAAACAAGGTCTCTGAGCTATAGAATCTTTGAATTCTGCGTGGAGACATGAAAGGAGAAAGAGGATCATGCTTTTGAATGAACAGTAAGTATATTGCTTCCACTGATTGCCTGCCTGCTCTGTAAAATACAACCACTTATTCATCACCCTGACTCAGCCAAAAATCCAGCTAAGAACTGAGTGTGCAGATGCAATACCAATTTGGTGCTGTCTTTCCCCCCTCATGTTTCCACTGGAGTGTTGTTCATTGTGTATGGTTCCCTTGGAGCATTCGTGAATGAACAGTAAGTATATTGCTTCCACTGATTGCCTGCCTGCTCTGTAAAATACAACCACTTATTC